ATATATATATATATATATATATATATATATATATTCTGTTTTTTTTTTCAAAAATATTAATCTGAAAATTCAATTTTAAAAATTGTTATGAAAAACTTTTGAAAATTTTTCAAAACAGATAATTGAAATTACTTTTATATAATTTTAAGAATTATGAAAAATCAGTTGATTGATACGTCATGATTGATTTTAAAAATTCGGTTAAATTAGATGCTTATTATACTTTTAATCTATATTTCCATATAATTTTCGTTTTAAAATAATAATATTTAGAGACTAAATTAAATAATTTTATTTCAGTCTTCTAAATTTAAAAAATAATTTGTCTTATAACTTTTTTTTTTAAGTTTGTAACTCTACATACAATACTTTGCTTGCAAGGCAATCATTTTAGTTCTGTATTTTTATCATCAAAACCTCTATAATATGTTTACACATTTTTCTTTTATTAAATATATTTAGTCTAACAACATTTAAGCAATTAATAGATTTTTTTTTCAAATTACAGAAATTAAAAAATAATTTTAAATTTAGAGAACCATCAATAAATGTATTCCAAATTTGAAAGAATAAAAACATATTTAAGAGGAAAACTATGCTGTATAAATGCTCATTATGAGTACGGATACTACAATTACTTTCAAAATACTGTATTTTTATATATTTTATTAGCTACATACGCATGAAAGAAAAATACCATAAGCTTACGAACAATGACTTTATATACATACACACAATTACTAGTAATACAAGCGTGAAGTCTTAAAAAACAAAACTTAAAAATGCAGTTTTGGGACCTTTAAATTGATTCTTCTTGATTTCAATAATTTTTACAACTGTAGTCCTAAATTTTTAAAAATATATCTCAACTTCTTTTCAATTTGGCATACTTTTATTCCTTTTATTGTGACTCATTAACATACTCATTAACATACTCATTAAAAAAATACAATTATAAAGTAGCCGTAATTAAATTTTAAAAATTGCAAAATCGAACAGTCTCTCGCGTGGTATGATATGATACGGATTACTTATCGACAGACAAATAGCAGAATAAGAGTTTCATTAACAAGATCAACGTATATGGTATAGGAGCTTTGGTCAACACGTTCGATGAAACGTACCTTTTGCAAAGAATAGAAATTTCTGCTTGGGAAGTACAGTAATTTACATATTACCGAGTTTTAGTTCCTCGGACAAGCTATCACAACAAATACAAAATGGCTCTCTGCAGTTGTTTGGCCGCAGTGAAGTTGCAGTTGATATTTCCCTCAACACAAACATTTGCCGTTACAAGTTTCGATTTTTTTTTCCTTTTTATTGTATTCTTGTCACCTTTACACGCACATAAATATGCAGAATGCCTACTTATTCACACTTGAGGAGAGACTTTTCATGGGGTGGAATTTACAGAAATCTCCTGCGGCACGAGTGGAGGTACCTGGTCTTGATGCGATGGCATAACCAGACGCTGCAGAGGCTTTAGAGCCACTGTGAGTTGTGCAAACGAGGGCCGCAAATTTGGATCCCTGACACAGGGAGAGGGAAAATAAGTCTAATTGCAAAATTTCCTGAAATCATTTAATGGTGTGTGGAAGGAGAAGAAAAGGAATAAATCAAATTTAAAGCTGAACATTCTTACTGTTGCCAACACTCCCAGATTATTCTTGCAACTATAGGATCGACTTCCTTAGGAATTTCAAGTCTACGATTTTGAAAACCAACAGCACCAACAACTTGCATAGGATTCATTCCAGTCCACGGCAACCTTAGTGTAGCAAGCTCCCATAGGATGACTCCAAAACTATAAACATCGCATCTGTATTTGGGATGATGATTAATAGAGATACATTCAATAGACAGCAAGAAAAGAAACACGCAAATATTTTAATCTAAATACATGTTCAAAATGTTAAATAAAGATCATATATTTCCAGAATTTTGCTTCTAAATCTGTTATAGCCATGTCTACCAGGCGCTAAGTTTTTAGTTACAGATAAAAGTAAAACTAAACTTTTTATGAATGGAGAAAACAATTCAATAATTGAACACAACAACGAAATAAGGGTTAAGAAAAATGTTTTTCATCAAGCGAAAATATGTAAAGAGTGCCTAGCAGATAGGGGTGTGATGTTCATGGTTTGGATCAACCCAATAATCCAAACCAAACCAATTACACTGGTTAAGATGTTCACCTCAAATTCAATCGGAACCAAACCAATCAAATCTTATGTTAATTAGTTTAGGTATTGGATTTATGATTTACAAATCCAATAAACCTAAAACAAACCGAATATATGTTTCTTATTAATATTACTATATACGAAATTTCATATATAATTATTATTCCGATTCCAAGGTATTGTCCGCTTTGGAATTTGTGATTCGTCACGGTATTGCCCTTAAAAAGTGTCTTGGAAGGTGAGAGTGTTGGAGGAACATAAGCCCCCAATTCCAATGGAGGGCTTAAGGAAATGGTTTGTGTTAGAACCTCATTATTTGTTCCACGATGAGCATCCAATTCTAAGTTCGTCAAGTGATATTCTTAGGATCAATTACACCTCATATGAGGTATTGTCCGCTTTAGTGTTTGTGCTCCATCACGATTT